GGCGGTTGCGGCGGTTGCTGCTGCGGGAGGCGAGCGCGGGGGGAGGCGGTTGCGGCGGTTGCTGCTGCGGGAGGCGAGCGCGGTGCGGCGGTTGCTGCTGCGGGAGGCGAGCGCGGCGGGGGAGGCGGTTACGGCGGTTGCTGCTGCGGGAGGCGAGCGCGGCGGTTGCGGCGGTTGCTGCTGCGGGAAGGGAGCGCCGGGGACGTGGTTGCGGCGCTGATGTCTGTGAGGCGACTGAGACGCTTTTAGTATCTTTTGCTTTCAAGCTGTCCCGCAAGGGAGAAGGGTGACTCTAGCGGGTCTTTTTTTTTATTATTTTATTATTTTATTATTATTTGCTTGCCTTTCATTCTTACCCCTCACCCATCTTACGGCGAGCAAGGCACATGTGTGTTCCCTCGAGGTAGAGGAAGAGGCAGATGGTGAAATCAGTGCGCCTCGAGATGGGTATTTAGCACCTTTGCGGGCTCAGGACGTGATTTTGCCAGTACTGTGCCAGGTTTCAACACTTGCGCGGTTAGAGGTGCCCGGCTTTGCTCCCAGGTGAGGGTCCCTACGAAGGCCTCGCCTTCCTCCTGGCTTCAGGGTTATGGCACAGGCTTGGTGACAGTTATTTTTCTACCTATAAGTAAAGGAGAGGAACTGAAAACGGTAGAGAGAGTAGGATGGCTCCTGCTGCAACGCCTGTCAGAGCAGGCAAACTACTGCCGTCCCTTTGACATAGGGTGCCTATACTTCGCTGGGAATAAGTGCATTTTCTCTGTCGTGTCTTTGCACACCCTTGGTTAGCTTTAAGTTGCTTCCTCTAAAGCTTCTCCTTTCTTGGGATAGGGTTTAGAGAGCTAGTCGGGGCTTAGGTTAGCTTTAACATGCTTTTCTCTTTAATCTGCACAGTGTCTATTCTGTAGGTCACTTAGGTATATGATTAGAAACAGAATGGATTGATGAAAATCATTAATTTTAATCAGAGTTTAAGTAATAGATTTATTCTTGCTTTGTATTTGTAGGGCTTTTTTAAATTAAAGATGTCAGTTTTGAACTAAATATAGTCTCTGTGGTGAAATAAGTATTTCAGCAATAGGAAAAGTATACCTTTTACCTAATTAGGGCTTCAGAGAACCAGAATATATACGTTTATTTAATAAATTAGACATTCTAGGCATTAAAAGCATCTTGATACAAGTAAAATACCAAGCTGTTTAGGGGAGAGACTAGCTGCCAACAGGGTGCAAGATTAAAATGATTTGCATTATAAATCCGTCACTGAATAAGGGCTTGGCTAGTTGATTACTCAAACTCATGGCTTTTCTTGACAGCACCCACAGTGCATTGGGGACTGGAGCACCTTGTAAATTCAGATTTTATTTTATTCATGAATCCAGAGAGGAAAATGCACAGCTTATGTTAAATTTAGGGAGTGCTTTCTTTGTTTTTAACATCTGAGGGAAAGTTTTCTGTACCTGGAAGATAGTTGTGCTGTCAAATGTTAGTCCCTGTGATGTAGCCACTCATCTCTCTCATTTCACCCTCTTAATTTCTTCAAAGCATTAGCAATGTCTATGCCATTTAGACTTGTTAAGTTTGCTGAAATGTACCAAAATAATATGCTTATGTGAGCCATTATAAGCCCAATAGAACATAAGCCCATTATAAGCCCTTTTAGAACATATTTATCCATTGTAACTGTTTAATATGTAGCCATTTTTAGACTTCAAGTTATTGTAAGTTATTGTAAGTCTATAGGTATGTACAGATTTTGTTTTTAAAAACTAAAATTGACTTAATAGTTCATCTATTCAAGGCTTGTTGCTATGTTTCAAGTAAAGTACTTTTCTTGTACTTCCTTTACCTGTTGAATGGATGAAATTACACTGCCTAGAATTTCGTGTTTGGCTTCATGTGAACCGTAGCCATTGAGTTGAAAGAAATTGTGCTGTCCTAGATGAAGACACTTCAGTCATTCCGTTTCACAGAAGGTGAAGACAGAAGTTTAGAGGTGGCTGTTCTCTTGAGGGTAATGCATGTTCTAGGCTACTCCAAACTGAACCTGTTAAGATACACTTTACGATTTTAGATCTTCCTTATAGATGTCTGGGAGATAAGACATTGTTTTGTTGCTACACTCATCCATTTTAAAGTTGCACTGAGAAGCATAGGGTGTGTGTGTGTCTGTATATTAGTTAAGGCTTTATTCTGTGGAAACGCTAATGGTTTAATGCAAACGTTAATCTTTTTTGCTCTGTTGTTCTTCGAGAAAGGGAAGTTTTGCTGATGTCTGTCTAAAATTCTGCTCTGAGTTGAGCTCTAGTTCTCTATACCTTTCTTTTTCCATTGAAGGACAAAACTCTGTTTCCAAGTAGACTCTCCAATAGGTGATGCTCGTTTTCCCCCTGCTGAACAGGGACAGGAGAAGCAAGGAAGGTAGAATACTGAATAGTGTTGAATTAATAAAGTATAAAATCTTCAGTATTGTAACATCACATACTCTGAGAAAGACAACATTCTTTTCACTTAAGGTTACTTCTGTCAGGGAGAATAAATTATAATAAACAAAATATGTAGACTTGAATTATTTTTTAGCTTCTCTCCTCCCCCCCCCCCCCCCCCCCCCCCCCCCAAAGGCTGCCTTACATGTAATTCCAACAAGATATATATTTCTTTTCTCCTGAGCTTCATATTTTAGAAGTATGGGAAAGGAAGAAATAGAAATTCTTATGTGTGGAACATATGTGAAATCAAACTTCATTTTGATAGGCAGTTATTTTCAGAAATGAAGTTGATAGAAGGGAAGTTCAAATGTTAAGTTGTTAGAGGTCATCAGTTTTGCAGCTATTTAATTGGATAAATGAAGTGAGCTGATACTTGCCTGACTGTTTATGGAGAGATAAAGTCATACCACAGTACGGGTAGAGAACATTGGCCTGTTTTATTTCCTTCTGGGCAGAAACAGGACTGCAGTGCAGACAAGTGCAATTGTTTCCATGCTTCCTACCTTGCCCTGAATTTTTAAAGGATTCCATTCAGAAGAATGGGATTAAATTTTGGCAGAGCGTTGTGGCAGGTTTTGGCAGATCATATGTTTTGTTTGGTCAGGAGCCCATGCACCCACTGCTTCTCGTTCTGTGTTTCAGTGCCCACAGCTTATGTATTTGGTATAGAAGTTTTTGAAAATATATTTTCTTTTGCAGAAAGAAGATATTGTACTTAGTGAGGCTACTGTTTCTGAACAGAGATCTGGTAATTCAGTGTTTCAAACACCTGAAAATTCTGAAATGGGCCTGATTTCTGTCTTTAGACATTTGAGAAGGTTCAACACTTCTAGATTGGTGTGTTATATGCTTATAAAAACTGATATTATATGTATATAAGACTTACATCTGAGTACACAGTAATAGGCTTGCTACAATTGCCTGCATAGCTGCTTTTCAAAGTAACTTTTTCACTTGAGTGTGACTTATGTCATTTATTTTAGCTATATGGAAAATGTGTTTTACTAACATAAATGTATATTTGATCTTGAACTGTGAATTGCGTCTAAATCATTTGCTTTCTGGAGTGGGAACCGGGTGTCAATGTAATCATGACACAGGACTTAACTCTTCAAGGGTAGAGTGAAATGATCCTTTTGTTTTTTTCTTAAAAAAATACTTTGTATTTTATTTGGAGATACTCTTTTAAACAGAAACTGTTGTTTAGGTTTAATAGAAAGTTTTAGAGAACACCACTCAAAAATGACATTGTAGGAAGGCAGTATTTTCAGAAATTAATCCCCACTCTGAGGCTTAAGCAAAGTCTAGTGCTAATCTAGCAACTAGCAAAGTGACTAGCACTCATGCAGTGTCACTAGTTCATGTTTAGTTCAGTAAATTGAATTCTATTTACTTTAGAAATCAGGTATGTAAGTTAAAATGTGCATGTTCTGAACATATGTTTGGATGACCTTGCAGCATATCAGTTTGGATAATGACCGGTTACTTTGACCTTCCTTTCCTCTCCCTGTTTCCCCTCCATCAAGCAGACTTGTTTATTTGGCAATAGCCCCAAAGAATTCCCTGGAGAGACAAGATAGCGTAATTTAAAATATTTTAAACAAAACATAGCAGTTGGAGGAGATGCTATTCTTGTTAACTTTGATGGGGGAGGAGTGTTTTTTGTTGTTGTTTTGTTTTTTAAATGGTTTGGTTGTACCTGAAGAGCAATGAATTCTGCACAACTGCTTGTTCTGTAGTGGTTTGATCTAGCTCCTAAAGCTAATGGATTTTCTTCTTAAAGTTCTCTTCCATAATGAATTTCCATTTAACTTCTGTTTCCTTTATTATGGTTATATGTAAGTGGAGATGAGTATTTCCTACAAGGTCTGGAAATTGTAGATTGGTTAAAATCCAACGAATGTCTCTAGATGTGACAAACCCAAGTTCTTTGCTTCTTCAGCAGAGAGACTGTAGGGTTTAAATCTGCTTATAGTAGGTTATAGGTTTCATGGATGTTGCATATGGAACATACTGATGGTTCATGTGTTTTGGAAGGGTATCCATCTTTTCTTAAAGAACTTTTGGAATTAATATTTGCTAATGAAAGCATCTTACATAGATATTTTACACTACTAGTCTACATGTATGTATCATAAGCATATTAATATAAATATCATAAGTATTCACTTAGTGTCAAGGTCTTCATCAAAATGGGTTTTATCTGCTTGAAAATCTTGAGGTCTTTCAGTGTGTTTTGTTTTATTGAAACATTTTCTGTTCTTAATGATGTGCTGTTTCTTTTCAGCTGAAGCATGTGCAGATGTTCTCGCATTAGCTAAAGAAGCTAGAAAGCGAAATCTTGGTCCCCTTCATCCTTCATTTAATGTGATAAAGATAATAAGAGATGGACTAATGAAAAATCTTCCAGAAAACACTCATCAGTTGTCATCAGGCCGGCTGTGTATTTCACTAACCAGAGTGTCAGATGGTAAAAATGCATTGATATCTAATTTTGACTCTAAAGAAGAAGTTGTCCAGGTAAGCTTATTTTCAGTTATTGTATGTGGAAACCTTTTAAAGTTGTTTTAAGTCCATTTAGTATCCTCCACTTTAGAAAACTGTGACTTTCACATTATCTTAAAGGTAATCAAGATATAGTCACATACTAGTTTTTCCAGCTATTATATCTTTGTGAACTGAGTGAGGGGTGGTTTTTTTGTGTGTGTGTTTTTTGGTCTCATCTATTTTTACTCAGATGAAATGTGGTTGTATTAATAATAAAAAAGGAATACCCTACCCGTATCTTAAAATAATGGTTGATATTAACCTATTTTACGTATTTATTTTTACTTTCTATTTAAAAGGCAATTGCTAGGCTTTTTTTTCTGCTTGATCAGGTTTTGCTGATATCTGAATATAATACTGTGAAGTGCCGGACTGGAGTGCTTTGGTAGAGGAAGTTAAGGAGTAGATCTAAAACAGTTCCTGAGATCACATCTGAATTAATATTATGTTGACAGCATCAAGACTACTGATTTTTAAATAGGAAAACACACATAGATGATACTTAAAATAACAGAACGGTTACCCTTTAATTCATACGGTCTCATTTCTTCACAGGCTTTAATCTGTAGTTCGTTTGTTCCTATTTATTGTGGCATAATTCCACCATCATTTAGAGGTGTGGTAAGTCTATATTCTATTGTTATGATGAAAAAGTATCTTTAGCTATGCTACAAATATTGAAAGATGTTTTTTTCTTGAATGAAATGAATACTTTTATCAGAGCATTTAGTACTGCGGTGGCTTATTACAGTCTTACAGAAAGATAAGGGAAAACTGTATGTGTTGGAAATAGGAACTTTCTTCTATACACCTGTTTCCCACCCAGAAATGCAAATGTGCACTTACATTTCTTGCATTTCTGATGCTGTAATTAGGGTCATCTAAGCAAAGAAAATAGTGAGAGATTTTTAATAATGAATATTTAATTAAAACAAGAGTTAGTGGTGCTTCCTCATCTGCATAAATTTGTAAGTGCGGTAACTTGTCTATTTTTGCACTAGGTAGTTTCTGCCCTAAAACTGGATTAAAGTTCCACATTCAGTTAGATGTGTCAGCCTTTTAATGTCCTCTACCATGATTGTTCTTTGTATCTAGTGTAAGAAAGGTTGCTTCTTGCAGCTGAAGAATCAATGTGATAGTCTCTTCCATTGCTTAACAGAAATTACTAGTTACAAAACCTCTTATTATTTTATTATTCTACTGGATTTTAACTGATCTCCCATGAGAAGAGCAACATTTGCAGAAAAGTTAAACAGTGTAATTTGTTGCAGGTATTCTGAATAATAGGTCTGTAAGCCTATGTGTGTTTCACATTAAGGCAGTAGGATTAATTACTTCTTGTTATATTGTTGCATTAATTTATGTTTGATTTCCTGCCAGCTTTGGTACTCCTTAGACATTAAGAAAGGAAAAGTATTGAAGTAAAAATTCAAAAGCATCCTTATTAGTGGTTTATAGAGTGTGTTCTCAAGGCTGATTGAAAGTGTGAAAAGGTCAAGAATAGCCTTGAAATGTATTTTCTTCATGCTAAAATCAAAGCCAGAAATGAGTAGAACTGTATAAAGATTTGCTTTTGTTTGCATTTCTAAATCTTGTGTGTCCCCTTAAACTCTTCCAGATTAGAAGTGTTATGAAAACAGGACATTGGACTCAATCCAAGGTTTAGGTGGATCCAGGCTAATCTGCCTGGATTGAGTTCTTGTCACCAGACTACAATGTTATTTTAAAAGGCTTAGTTCAGACAGCAAAAACATAGAAGTCATGATGTATTTGCTCAGGTCTTGAGGATGGAAGAAGCATTTGCTACATCAATTTGACCTTTTCAATGATTGTCATATGATTTTAATCTATAGGAGGATGAGAGAACATTGTAGTTTATTTTTATACTAACTAGGTTAAATACCACACTTGCATATGCTTTGAGTGACTCCTATAGGACTTAAACACAGCAGAATGTCAGATATTTAAACTTTGTAGTATCACAGTGTCTTACTGTGAACTAGCTTGGTTCCTCATGCTCTAAAACAAAGCTTTGAGGGTTACTATCAGTAGCTGTATAATGTTAGTAATATTAATGTTAGTAATATTAATGTTAGTAATATTAATGTTAGTGCAGGATATTGCTGTTGAACTGTCTGCATTTACTGCAGAAAGGAAAAAAAAGTGGCTTTATGGTTTTAGAGCAATTTCTTCCCATGCAGATTGTATTCTATACAATAACAGCAAATATAAGCAAAATCAGAATATGTGTTTTTCTATCTAAAAATGTTTATCTGTCACATAACACTTGTAATTCACTTTCAGGCCAGTTATTCTGTATACTGTTGAGCTAGCAAAGGCCAATTTCCTGTGAATTTCAGGTCTTTCTCCAATATGACACTTCTCTCCTCCTAATCTTTCTCCCTTCTCCCTTTAGTGACAGGCAGTCATGTTGTGACATGTCATGGGCTGTGTGCCCAGCCTGGTTAGGGTGCTGTTACGAAGCAGAGTGCCTTGAGAGCTACCTGTCTTGCCCTCACTAGGTTGGCAAACTGAGCTCAGTTTGGGATGATTTCTCCTTTATGTAATGGCTAAGTGTCAAGTTTGTGGGTGTTTGCTTAGCCCTTCAAACATGGCATTGGCTTTAGATTCAAAACTTAAGGGGAACCTGATGGGCAGCAACAGCTACAGAAGTATCAACTGCTTAACAGTCTTGCTTAAGTTACCTGCTGTGCTATTCGACCTTCTTGGAGGAAAAAAAAGAAAAAAAAAAAAAAAGCTACACAGCATTGATAATCAAGGCTCCTCCTGTTAAAAAACACGTTTTAATTTGCAAGGACCTAAGCAGGTCTTAAGGTTCCTATGCAGGAAGGAGGAAACTGCAGCCACTAAGCAGGAAGGCTGGTAGTGAGGAGTGGTTTATTTATTTATTTTGCCACTGTAAGAAGAAACTGTCTGAAATTGGTGCTGCTACAGAGAACGTTCCTGTAAGTGGCTTGATGAGTCTTTGAGGCTTGTCTTTAGTCACAACAGCTAAACCAGCTGCACCAAAAGTCTGTTATCCCAATGCGGAATTCTTCAGTCCTTGCGTTTTAAAATGTCTCTGGGGTGCTGATGTGTTAAAACTACAGAAATGGGTCCCTGAAAATGAGGAGGAAAAAAAGCATAACCTGAAAGAGCTTCTAAACTTGCACTTGAATCAGATTAGGTATCTCTAACCTACAGCATTGTTCATGTTTAATTGTAGTCTCTTCCTGACTGAAAACTTGTGGTGATTTTTTTGAAGAGTGATTCCAAGTAACTCTTATTCTAAGTGGTTTGGTATCAAATAACTTTTGCTTCAAGTGTAAGTTACCTTTGTTCTCCTTTCTGCAGGAAGTATTTTGGTAGGCCTTAACTTGTTAGAATGGATGTTGTGTAGGGTAATGCTCCTTGAAATGCACTTTTTATTTTTTTAAGAAAGAACCAAAAATCTCAGCGAGTATTCCTAGGCTGTCTATGGTATCTTAAGCTGTCTGTGTCTTAGGCAGGAATTTATTTTAAGTTTTATCAGGGACAAACTGTTTGACCATAAATGCTTGGTCCGAGCATAGGGAGATACTATTTTATTACAATCTTAAAAGCCATTTAATTCTTAAATGGAAAATTCACTGGTTAAATTTCAATCTCTTTTGCTTCCGCTGATCTTTGCAGCGCTATGTGGATGGAGGCATCAGTGACAACTTACCTCACTACGAGTCCAAGAACACCATCACGGTTTCGCCTTTTGCCGGGGAGTGTGATATCTGCCCCAAAGGGAACTCTGCCAACTTCCACGAGATGAACGTGACCAACACCAGCATCCAGTTTAGTCTGGGGAACCTCTATCGTTTAACACAAGCGCTCTTTCCACCAGAGCCTAAGGTAATGCAGTGACTTGATGAGGTTCATAATACAATATTTCTTCAATATAAGAGATTTGCTTTTGAAGAAAGTTGTAGTAAGCTTAGAGTTTTATCTATCATATAAACTTTCTGGTAACATTTTCCTTATTTCTCTTTTATTCATAGTTTTTTCGCGTTCTTATTTTTTATGTCCCTAAGACTAAAAGTAATACTGGTAGACTAATGACTGCTTTCGTACTCCTTTTATGTTTATCTGCTAATCAGGTATTTAAGAACCTGAAAGAGTTTCTAAAGCTGCTTTTTTTTTTTTATTATGAATTAATAAATTACTGAGCACTGTAAAATGGATGAGGAAAATATTGTAGAATTGTAGCTGATTAATCTGAAGAAAAGGAGAATTATTTTTTTCCAATTGGCTTGGGATGTACTATGGAGGAGAAGTAATGTTCCTGACTGCTGTAGATGTTTTTTAAAAATGAGAATTTTTGCTCACTTGAAGACAAAATGTTAAATTCTACTTATGTAGGCTTTAAATATTTTCTTCTTTTTCTATCTAGGACTACTATGTACATTAGTAAGTGAAATGGTGTTACATTTGCTAAAAGATGTTTTCATATGGAAGACATAAGTTTGAAGTGGAGCGTGAGAATTGCACAGTTGACTTGTCATAGTTTTGGGAAATGGGAAGGACTGGGAGGAAGAGGGGAACTGGCATATTCTACCAAGCCATTCTGCTTCATTGTTACTTCCATCTGCCAAATAAAGGCTAGTCAAAGAAACAAACTGGGAGGAAATTCTTGCAGACCTAATAGAGTTAGAAGAACATCCTTTTAGGTGAATAATTCAGTGTATCTCTGATAGTTGAAAGACAAAGCTTGTGTGCATTTGGTCACAGTAGGTTCATTAACTTGAATGTGTGTTGTATTACAGCAATTGTTAATGCCATATCTTCTTAGAAGAGTGGCGGGCATTGGACGTGGCAGGTTTTTATTCTGTAAAATGGCTTAAGTGGAATCTCCTTTCATTTGGCTGACTCATTTATCCTGTGCTTGCAGGTCCTAGGAGAGATCTGTGAGCAAGGATACTCAGATGCTCTTAAATTCTTAAGAGAGAATGGTATGTTACCTCTATAGCTAACATGAATAATGTGACCTTAACCTGGGTTTAAAAAAACGGGGAAGGACGCAGTGGGGAAAGGAGGGAAAGTGTAGGGAATAGGGGATAACTTTTTCAGCTATGCTCTCCTTCTGAATTTGAATGGAGAGAAATCATAGTCATATACCTAATCGTTTACTTCAAGTAACCTGTGCTGTCGCATAGAAATTGCATTACAGATGTGATTCGGGTTTTTGTCACATACTTAAAGTGAATATTAAGGTTAAGTGAAATTACCAAAGAATTCCAGTTCTAGAAAACTGAAGTTTTTAGTTTCTTTTAAGTTAATCTCGAAGGGTAAAAATAGAGATTACACAGAAGTGGGAAACATTGGCCTATCACCTCCACTTGCATGTCATACAAGTGAATTTGTAGGTGAAACCTAACAGTTCAAAATAGAAACTCTCTATTATTCTAAATACTCATCTTGTAATAAGGTCTTCAGTGTTAAAGAAGGTCACCGTTTAACTTAATGGTGTTATTAGAATTCAAAGCTGTAAATATTTAATATTATTAAATATTTTTAACACTTAGGTATTGTTATCAGGTGATTAAAAACACAGTTATATATATGTGTGTGTGTGTGTATATATATATTTAAAAAAAAAAAGCCTTTAATTTGAGATGGTCTGTGCGAAGATGGACTCTTCTGTTGCTGTGCCTCCACAAGATTCCTGTGTACACATTCCCATCTGTCCCTGGGTCTGTGATTCCTAATCCCTCTTCCTTTGTGTTTCCCCCACATCCTGTTTGTATTGCACTGAAATCCTCCTTTTCTCACTACTCATTCTGTAATCACCTTTTTTCTCGTGCTGTCACAGATTCATGTTGCTTCAAGCTCATGGGTGATAACTGTCAGTCTTTCCAAATTCATTCATTATGCACCTCCCATCTCCTTAAACGTTTTCAACTCTAGGAGGCTGTGTGTTTTCCATCTAGAACACTGTAGTTCTGTTCTGCTAAATTTTGGCTATGTTCTTAAAGAATACTTAGAAATGCAGAAGATATCGTAGGAAAGAGATCCTGTTGCATGTAGGTGAGGGTCCCAGTTAAGTTCAATAGTGTTAATATAAAAAGTTACTTCACATTGATTTTTCTGGAAACTGAGTATGAATACCCTTCTTGTATATGTAAACTTGTGCTCGTTACTTGGTGCTTGCTTCTAAGGTGTGAGTGGTTAATATTTATACCTTTTATTAATCGGGAATGCATGAGTTTGGCAAGACAACTTGTGGTGGTGTATCAATTTTCAATAGATCTTAAAATACACTTCACCATGCTACTTTGCCTGTAGCTATGTTTCACCACGCTACTTTTCCATATCATGACAGTACCTCAAAGTACTTTTGTGATATTTACCACTTCAGATTTACCAAACCGGTCAATTGTGTGTTTATAGGTGCTTTATTTCAAACAAATAGAAAGTAAGTTTTCTTTCTTTTTTTTCTTTCTTTTTTTTTTTTTTCTGAAAATATTTTTATTCTTACTAGAGAACAACTTTGGTAACTGACTGTGTATCCATTGCAATTTCAGCTATTTTTTTTCCCTCACTTTCTTTAGAACCTCTTTTAAAATGAGACCTAGATCTGCCCCCAAAAAATCATCAATATTAATAAACATTGGTGGTTGTAAGACCAAGTGGTATTTGATATTAGGTAGATAGGCCTGCCCTGAGGGAACTTTAAGGTATTCTGCAGTCTCCTGCATCACGTTTGGCCTAAGGGAAATTCTTGACTCTTTCAGGTATTCTGAGTGACTCAATTTATGTCACCTTGTCCTTTACAAAAAGAAGTCCTCAGGAGGCTCTGCAGTGCATTGACCGTGTAAACAAGAAAAGTGTGTCGGAAAGTAGTGGAACAGAAGCTCTCAAAGCTGAAGCACTTAACGACCAGCTGAAGCAGAATCCATGGCCTTTAGACAAGAGCATATTTGAGAGTCTTCCTCCCAGGCTTCGTAAAGGTACCTTCTTTAGGCTATTTTATGTAACTTTTTCAATAGCAACCTGTGGGTGGGTGGGTGGTCTTGTTTGTTTTTACTTTTTTTCTTAGGTTAGAACTAGTAAGCTTTTTATTTAGTCTTATAAATCTGTTAGAGACTAGTTCAACCCATAACATTTCTTGAAATGATTACTAGATGTGTATGTGTCCAGGCCAATTTAGCTACACAAATTGTACAACTGAAACAAGAGAAAGAAGTTGCTTTTCAACATCATAGAGTTATAACTTGAATTCTCCTTTGATTTTGTGGTATTTCGTAGTATTTCTATATGATCCTTTTATTTCATGACAAAGGTGAATCTCAAATCTAAACACTCTTTATTTTATTACTAAACAAGGCTTCAGTAGATTTGCAACTGTCTGATTTTTGTGTCCTCTATAAAGACGTTAGTAGAACATCGTAGTAGTAGTAGATCAGAACACTTATTGATTTTAAAAACAAAATAAAAAACACTTTTAACTAGGCCTAGGAGCTCTAGGCTTTTAACAAACTCCCTGGAGTTTGTTAAAAGATGAGGATGCTGTGTAAAGTACAGAATTACTTTAGGGAGCTGAACTTCATACCCTCTTGTAATAAATTATTTCTGAGACTTATTGCTTCAAGGTTCTGTGGAATGTCTTTTCGTCCTTGTAGGATGAGTCAATACTTCCCATATTTTCAAGTAGCTTAGAGAAGATTTACTCTGACAGTGTCTTGAGACTCTTTTTTTTAAATTCTCTGTCTGATCTTCATTAAGTAATATGTGGTATAATTAATTAGACTGGTGATCACCAAATAGAATTATTTGGACTGTTTTCAAGAAGTCTAATAGTTTTTTTGAAAAAAAAAATGGTTATCCTTTAGCCTTGCAAGAAGCTTGTCAAGAGCAGAGCGGATTCTATGCCCAGGTCTCTAAACTCTTCCCAGTGCGGGTGATGTCCTACCTGATGCTGCCATATACGCTGCCAGTGGAGTCTGCTTATTCCCTGGCTTTACGGTAAGGGTCTTCTAGAATTGCACTCTAAAGAATTTACTCCTTGCATGTTCTTACAGGCACTCTAGTGCTAGGGCTCTAGTTCAAGGGCTACCTAGCCGAACATCATCATTCCTACCTAGATAACGCATCCTATAAAAGTTTCTGTAGTCTAAGGCTAGAAAAATATAAATGCATTGAATAGACTTCTAAAAACTTCACACTTAGCTAGTAGTAGCTCTTTTAACCACTAGAGAGCAGGGAGGGGAACAGCCTTAAGTGTGTTTTCCAGGAGCAGATTCTTTGCAACTGCTATATTCTTGAACTTCATTCTAGTAGTGCTTGTGTTCTGCCTTCTTTTTGAAGTCAGAAGTGAAATAGAGTAGTTTACTCTCTGTGTAAATTTTCTTAGCATGTTTGTTCAGGTTGACTCAGAGTTGTACTCTCAAAACTAGAAAGAATTTTCTAAAGTTTCTAACTCTTGTACAAAACAAATGAATCTATCATGAACCCTAAACTGAGTGCTTGCTTAAGAGCATTGCAGTCTGAATAGCAGATAGTAAATTACCTTGTTTCTCTGTTACTTTGGCTTTTTTGGAGGGTGGAGAAAAAAAGCAAATTTCAACAGGATTTTTGTGTGAGTTTTTTGCTTTCTTCCCATCAGTGTGGCTGACTTCTCTTAAGAGCATTTTGTCAGGGCAAAATACATTTGTGACATTATTCCGCCCTTTGCTTTCCTGCCGCCTTTCAACTCCCCTGTAACTTTAAGGTGATTAAACAGTTCCAGCCAACACAGAGAGAGGTCACAGAGATGAGAGGGTTTTTTTCAGGATTCCTCTGACTTGGGTGTAAACTGCATACCCCCATAGCTCGTGCTGTAGTACTATGCACAGCCTTTTTCTCTTAGCCTGTAGAGGGGAGATGAGAAAGATGAGAAGCATAGGCAGAAATTTAGAGGCATTGGGAGGATCTGGACACTGTGTTTGTTGGAGGAGTAAACGTGGGGAAAATGAAAATTGGGGGGGGGGGGGGGGTTGTTTGTTTGTTTTTGGAGCTTGGATATGAAAGTATAAGAACATGCCTCATGTGAGCCCAGTTCCTTATGGAATAACACACGTGTTTTGTTTTTGATTGTAGGTTAGTAAACTGGTTTCCTGACATTCCTGATGATGTTCGATGGATGCAAGAGCAGCTTTGCCAGATTGCTGGTACAGTTTATTCCCGGGCTAAAAGCAAGCTCTTCTGTGCATTCAGGTAAGCTGCTGTACTGCTGCAGGCAAATGATGCATTCCGAGAGATTTCTTTTCCGTTAGCCAAAGCTGCAAGTTTGGGCAAGTTTCCCTCTTTAGTTAATAGAAGTTATAGAATGGGCACTAAACTGAGAATAGAGACCTTGTGTCTGCCTTGCTCCATAAAAGCTGTAGCAATTGGGAAGAAAAAGGTGGAAAAGCCTGTTAAAGATGTTTTAAATCAGATGTGGTAAGCAGGAACTCGAATAGTTGGGGAGGAAGACTAGGCTTTCAGGAGCCTGGACAAAGAAGATTGTAACAGTGAAAAATAGATTAAAATGAATAAGGAGGGAAGACTTATTTTATTTTTTCCCAGATACTTCATAAGGCAAATATAGACATTTTCTGTAAATACCTGTTGCTGTGGAAGATAAACCCTATGGTAACCTGGTTGTAACCGGTTTCATGACTCCTCTCTTATCTCCAAGCCTTTCAGACTTCTTGCTTTGTTAATCTTTCCAGTGCTTTGTGGATGGAGGAATTGGTGAGAGCTTACGCCAGTTCGAATACCATCACAGTTTCACCTTATGCTGGGGCGTGTGATATCTGCCCAGAGTGGAACTCTGCCAGCTTCTGTGACTTGAATGTGACCAGCACCAGCAGACTTGCTTGTAAAAAATAGGCTTTCAGTCTGAAACAGTGAGTTACGTAGCCACACCAAGTAGTGCTCTGAGCCATAGGCTCTCTTAAGGCTTATAAATATGAACCCTCAAGGTTTGACTTAGAAATCTGAAATAGCGGTTTCAGTGGAGTGGGCCAGGACTATTTTATAGTAATGTGTTAATGACTAACTCAACTCCTGGAGTTGATGGGAAGGAAGCGGGAGAAGGGGAAGTGACACTGGCCAGGAAAGCTTTTAGGACAGCAGAGGATTCTCTAATGCTGCATTAAAGCTTCTTAAGTATACAGCAATAGCACTGGAGACGGCAAGCTGCAGCAGGTATTTCGGTGAGCATATGGCTATGTTCAGAATATAGATTTAAAAATTAAAAAAGGGGGGGAGAAAAAAGGAGGCGGGGAAGCTCACTGTTATCTGAGCCAAGACATTTTGGGGGGTTTATCTTCCTTTTGTTACTACTAAAGATAAATAATGAGGAAGATCAAAGATAATATTCCTTGTTGCCCTGGCAGTGCCATACATTGATCCAATCAGGAATGCCAGACTTGATGCGTCTAGCTGAGAAGAACTTGCCTGTTTCAGCTGCCTTTGGAGAAGTTCTGCCACGTTCTGCATTGGTATCTTGAGTCGTTTGATGCTATGCCCAATCCTTTTGAAGTAGGGAGTTGTCGATCTGAAACTTTCTGGCTGGAGAAAACTTTCATAGATTATTGGTTTTTGAGGCTTGAGGTATCATTTTCTCTCTGACAGCATTAAACAGTCGCTTTAGTATTAGGTTGTTAGAATATCTTTTTACAGTGTTGAGTTGTATTGAGACTCTGGGAGTATTTAATTCATGTACGTGAACAGCGTCTTCCTCTCCATAATGAGTTCAGGCTTCCTTTATAACCTCAGCATGCTCTTGGAATGTTTTTGAGGCCATATGTCTAAACAAAAAAAGGAGTTTTAATATCACCTATTATCATTCTAGGATCACCTTTCAGTTATTTAATGCTGTATGTGATACTGTGACCTTTTCTTCCTTTCTTTCCTTACTGATGTTTCTAACTCCTTTTGAAAATAAGCGTGAAAGCTTTTATGTACCCATGTTTATCTAGTAGCTTCATGGATTCCAACCTTTCTAGTCTTGAGATATTCTTCATTTGTGGTGGGCATTCAGGAGGGAGCATAGGGCTTAGCTCAAACTTCTCAGAGGGATTATTCTGTCCTTAGATGATCGACCAAAATTGTTGTTTCTCTTCATGAATAAAGCAAGATTTGGCCATAAAACAGGAGGGCATGGTGCTTTATGGTATGTTAAGTATGATTATCTTCCACAGAGCTATACAAGTAGTTGTACTTTTAAACTTTCTGAAGCCTTTCTTTATGTGGATTCCCTCTGGCTTTCTTTGTGGAGTGATGCACTGTAGTCTACAGGTGACTCTTAGTGTGAACATTGTAATGTTTCAGGATCCACTGAGATCTTACTGATGCTTTTGCAGAGAATAATTTCTCCATCCTACCCCCTTTTTTCCCTTCCCCTTATGTCAGGCTGTTTACAGTTTAGAAATACTATTAGGAAACTGAACCTAGTGGCCAGTATCATCTAGTGTATCTTCTAAGTCTCAGGTTGGAAACTGCCATTGAAATGTGTGCATGAAGAGTTTTGAGGTTTGGTGGTGGTGTGGTTCCCCTCCCCCCCCCCCCCCCCCCCCCCCCCCCCCCCCCCCCAAAAAAATATTACAAGCTAGGGGCAAGAAATTTGAAGGAAAAAGCTAGGTATTTATGCTGACAACTTCACTTTCCTGTTTCTCGGGTTGAAAAAGAAGGAAAAACTCAGTATTTTTTTTTCCTGTATGCAAATTGTGGTCAGCCTTTCAGTTGATGCTGTTCAGCTGGTTGCAAAGTGAGGAGCAGAGACTGCACTTGAAGTTGAATGGCTCTCTGTGCTACTAACCTTGTAAAATGTCGAGGTTATACTTGTAAATGTTGGGTTATTGCTGTGAATGAGAAATAACCAACTATTCCAAGCGAGTTGCTTGGGAAGACCAGGGCTGTTTAAGAGGTGATGGACAAAGTAAGTCTGTCCTCTGTGCTTAGGAGAGCAGTTTGGTGGCTTCCAGTGAAACCATTCTATCCTTACCTTTGAGGCCATCACATAATGGCAAGGGTGTCACCTATCCAAAGTCATTAAATACGATGAGACATAACCATTCCATTGACTGTTTTTCCTCTAGTGTTCCTCCTCATTCCAAGTTTGACATATGAACAGCAGTAGAAAAATCACTAAAATACTACTTTTCTTGTTTGTTTTCTCTTAACAGGAAAGACAACTATGCACCGCTAAGAAAATGTCAAACTGTCCCTTCTACTGTGGAATTTCATTCTTCATACTGTCATCTTAAAACACCTCACTCTTCTGCAGACCTTGAAAGCTGGCTCTGGGACTCTTCCTACTTCATACATTCAACTTTGAAACATGCTTCTGTTAACATAAAGCAGCATTCAGATGTGGATTCCTATCCTAATTTTCTCCCAAATTCGGATGAATCTGAGTTAGATTTTGACTCTTCCTCAGAGAAGAGTTACCAAACTGCTCCAGAATATTAGTTTGGAAATAGTTTCCTCAGCTTTCAAAATTCCAATTTGGCAGGGATATGCAAATCCTAAAGGATTAAAGCTTACTTTTAAATTGCCAATAAGTCTAGGAAAATTTTGTTTACAGCTACATGGCAAATCTGCCTTTGGAATTCTACTGTTCTAAGGATTGTAATAGCAGTGGTTACTATATGAAGTAGCAGACTAGACTTTTCTTACATCACCAGCACAATGATCCACGCTAGCAGTGTCTCTGGAAATAAATCCATTTTCAGCATAAGAACTCTTTGAACAGCTTGTTAGATAAAGTCATAGCAAAGAGCGTTTTAAAAGTATAATTCTTAACAATATTATGTGTTAAAACAATTTTTTACAGCATTTAAAAGAAATTGGACTTTTTTTTCATAAAGGGAGCTATACAAAAGTTTTGTAATGGCCTCTGGTGTCTTTGCCTTATGTTTAAATGTACTGCTGCATTTATGGAAAAGTTGCCTGCATGAGATACTGTAGGAACAGTATTGTTCCAGGTTATTCCGTATATTTCCCAGTTTTTCTGACTCCTTTATTCAAATACTTGAAGAGAAAAGACCATAAGAACTGGGACAGGTGCAACAGAAGTGTAACCAGGTGCAGCTTCCGCGTTTCAGAGGACTTTTGTATACTTAACAAGGGCTCAATTATTGAATAAGTGCTGAAAAGCAGGTAAGAGAGTGGCTGAGATTAGCAAACAGCAATTGGAGAAGTGATCAAGGTTGTTGCCAGATGCTAATGCATCCGTGTGGCGCAAGTCAGTGCTGATGTCCCTGCAACTTCAGGGCTTTTCTCCCCTTCCTCCTTTTCCTCTTCCTTGGAAAGAGGAAGGAGGGTCTCATCTGTCTCAGGAAGAGAGGGCAGCCCAGAGAGAACAATAATCCAAGGCTGATGGTCAGGAGTGAGAATTTAAATTGGAAACCGGGATATCCAGATGGGTGTAGAGGCCTCAAATCATGCTTGGAAATCAGCTAAATCATGTTTATATTGTCGTGAGGATTTTCAACACTTCCACTTGCAAACTGTTGTGTAGTTTTAAGAAGGGTAATGCATTAATCTATGAATACAGAGCGGGGGGGAAAAGTAACTGTGAAATTAACTGTTGTCCCGACGTCTTATGATGCTTTTGACATCTACATTTTTTTAATAGAAGGAATCTACTCTGGCTTTAATGTTCAGTTCAAGTATGTGTTTGGGGGCAAGTGTGTGACAGTTGAAGGCTTTTTGGGCAGGGACCGGAGTTTTCGTGCCTATGGGCTATTGTCTGTAGATGCATTGTGTGAACAGGGAGAGTCTGTTGTGACAGGAAAGGTGCTGGGAGGTGTGATGCTCAGAGGAGGAATTGCACTTGGGATTTTTTTCCAGAGCAGGCTGTTAACTTTGGATAGCTGGAGGTCTTTTGCAGAGCAGGATTTAGCTTTTCTCCCTGGACCAACCTTCATGCTGCTCCTCAGCTCAGTTTTACAACGCTAACACGCTTTTTAAATGCTGGGGCTGTTGGAGAAGACGCCGGGCTACTGATTTTTTTATTTTTAATATTATGGACTGGTGCTACTTAACTCTCACTTGTGTTTGCTTCATGTTTTGTCCTTGCGTGTCTCCCGCTCTGCGCGAGCGAGCGGAACCGCTGCGGGACCTGCCATTAAACGCGACCAGATGCGCTCCCGGTGTCTTTATTCGCAGCGCCCCTCCTCCCCTCGCTACTGCGCGTGCGCCGTAGCTGCCCCGCAGCGCCCGCCTCTGCGCATCGCGCATGCGCGTTGCGCGCCCTCCCGGCCGCAGGCGCGGGGCAACACCCTCTGCTCCATTGGGGCGCGCGCCGCTCGCCCCGCCCCTTCCCTCCTTTCAGGCCAATGGGGGCCGGGGCGGGGCGCTGTCATGGCCGCGGCCGCGCTGCGGCGTTGATCCGCGGCGGCCGTCGCCCCTCGCCGCGCCGCCGCCATGGGCACCGTGCACGCCCGGGTAAGGCCGCGCTGCGCCCGCGCACCCCGCGCCCTCCCCGCGGGCCCCAGCGGCCGCTAGCGGGGTCACCTTGGGGGCCGGGCCGCCCAGGTCGGGTCACCTTGGGGGCCGGGCCGCCGCGCCCGGCCTGTGGCGGCCGCGGCGGGGCCGGCTCGGCGCTCGAGGCGGCCTCCGCGCCGCCCCGCGGGCCGCTGGAAGCGGCGGGGAGCGGAGAGCGCCGCTGGGCCCCGAGTGTCCCCTCATCCCGTCCCCTTTAACGGCCTTTTGCCCGGCCCCCGCTCGCCTCTGTATCCTGTGCGGAGTAAAGCCGTAGCCAAACGGGGGCCCGTTGCTGCCTGCCTGCCTGCTACGCGGTATCTAGGCGCTGTTTTCCCTGCTCCAGCGCTGCCGGGGAGCGAGAGAGGGATCTGTGCGGCCGTGACCCGGCCCTGGTGTGCAGCAGCCCCGCAGCGGCACCGCGCAGTTACCCGCCCTGCTGCGTCGCGCAGCACGGCCCCTTCCCCCGCCTCCTTTTGCAGTCTTTTCTTAAATCTTAAAATATAAACGCATACAAAGTAACGCGCCGGACCCCCTTTCTTATCCCTCAGTGGTTAGCGCTCAAGCTCCTCTCCCTCCCCCGAGCCTCAACCAGCCTGTGACAGCTTGAGATGGGGCCTGGCTGCCTGTTTATGAACACGGGCTTTCATCTTTCCAGTTCGTCGACGCTGTGAATATGCCTTAAAAATAAGATTGTTTGTAAAAGAAAAGCTTTTTAAATTCTTTTTAAGTGGGATTACCATTATTTTTTCGAATTTTGAAGGAACTAGATGAATAATTACAGAAAAGCAAGACTTTTTTTTTTTTTTTTTTTTGGTTTGGAAATGCCTTAGGAAGGTAGGTAAAGAAACATTTAAGGATAATTTGGATGTATACCCCATTTTTAGTACTGGGCTTTACAGCCACTTGAAGACATGTGCAGAGCCCTTCCAAGAAACCGCTGAACATGAAAGCAGTTCAGCTTTCGCTAAACCTTTTGGTACTGGTAATTTTTAGTGCTGGTAATTCCACAAATTTTAACTCTTTTGATCTTTTTTTTTCCCTATGAGCTGATGGGCACAGCTTCAGGAGTGCGGTTTCCTTACTTCGGGAAAGACACTGTGCAAATCACGCAAGAGAAGAAAAGGCCGTGCTTAATACATTCTGTCCTTGCAGAGTTTGGAGCCCCTTCCCATGAGCGGGCCGGACTTTGGGGCGCTGGGAGAGGAAGCGGAACTGGTTGAAGTTGAACCTGAAGCCAAGCAGGAAATTCTCGAGAACAAAGATGTAAGAAACTCAAGGGTGTCTTCATTTGCCTCAACAAAGAGGCCTTCGCAGCTTTGCAGGCTTCGCTGATGGTTTTTCCCACAGGATCTGTGTAAAGGAAGGTTGAAGGTGTGAAAGAAGCCAGTGTGATACTGTACGTTTAGCCTGGGGTTTTCTCTTTATTGTTCTCTCTTGCATCGAAATTCGGAGGGAGCCGTAGCGCCCGCTTCTCGCTGGTGCGTTCTGCACTCTCTCATCGGAGGTTTCTGCCCCGTGGGCAGTAGCGGGGTGTGCAGCTGCCCTCCCTGCGCCGCGGGAGTGCAGGGTAGCCAGGCCAGCAGGGCGAGCTGCCACCACCTGAAGCCCCGGGGCAGGGCAAGCGGGCGCTCCAGCCAGGGGACGGTGACTTCCTACACCGCTCCGCGTGCGACAGCCGGTTTGTCTTGGCCCGTAATATGTTTGACTGTGCTGGAGGGGACACACAAAGATGCGTTATCGTCATTTTTTATGTAGTTTTTCTTTCCCCAATAATGCTCAGAATCATCCCAGCCAGAAGCCAGGTAATAAAGCTTGTTCTTTATTTACTTGTGCGTTCAACAGATTTTTTCAGCAATTTACAGTAGGTCTAGGGTGCTCTTGTGCTGCTGTTTTGTTAGTTATAACTGCATAAAACATTTGCCTTTTTTTTTTTGTTTGTTTGGACAGAGTTCAAAAAGAGAGTTCAGAGTTCATTATTCAAAAGTTGTAGTGAAGAGGCTGGAAAAATGAGGGCCGTGTTATTATTGTAGTGCATTAGTTCCAGCGGAATTTGCTGTGGTTTTTAAGATAAAATGGTCTCAAATGGTTATGTGAAAAGATAAATGATTTTAAGAAAATGTCAAACCTCATAGTACTAGTGATCTTGAAGTGAATTTTAATCAATGTTCTAGTAGTGGTAACAATTTTGTAGGCTTTAAATATTTATGGCTTGTGATATTTTTGTGTGTGTAACTGGTTTGAGAAGTTAACTGCAACTAATCACACGCATTGCTTTATGTTTCTTAAGATCTGCCTGTGATTTTAGTAGTGACTTTGTTCCTAAGACTCTGTGACTAAAATCCTGACAAGTGTCTATTACAGTCTTCTTATTAAATCAGTTTGAGATTTGAAATGAGAATAAACTTTTTGGTTTTGTTTGTGTTACAGGAACAGTTTTCCAGAATTGTTGATAGCGCTGGTGTCTGATAATGTAAATTTTTAGTATTTAAAATATGAATCTGTAGCATCTTTACCTTCACTGGGAAAGCAATATTTTTTTCTGTGCACGTTATCTTGGTATTTATCATCGTATTCAATATTCAATAATTACTTTTAAATTCAGTATTTATTTTTAAACATCTATTATGTTTAGGTGGTGGTTCAGCATGTACACTTCGATGGACTTGGAAGGACCAAAGATGACATTATCATGTATGAAATCTGTGACGTTTTCAAGGCTAAAAATCTCATTGATGTAAGTGCTGTAGTGACTATCAGGCCGATTATTGTAAAAAATGAGATTTTGATTTTCTCTTCATTCCTTCTTTGAACTGCCCTCGTCTTATGTGGGGCAAGATTGCTAATTTTAGGAGATTTCTAAAATTATGATATGGATGTTAAACTTGAAATACCTTACCAGGATTTCTTACTTAAGTTATTCAGCTAAAGGCATGGAGAGATGGTAAACTGTCCCATGCAGACCAAGCCTTTATTTTGGTTTTTTTTTTTTTGCTTTCAGAGAGTGTGTGTGAGGCTGTGTAATCTAATAAATTAGTAAATTGTAAATTAGTTTAGGTTTAAGCAGAATACAATTTTTTTTTCCAAAAAGTATGGACCCAGTAAATGGATGTGTGCGACTAAAGTTTTATAAACCCATTTGAATAATGATTTTGAATTAACTTAAATCTATGTTAACTGTTAGATCTGTTATAGTGCAAGCAAACAAGAAGCCGGCGTCTGCTCTCAGTCTCGTTATTGATGTGAGCATTCATTTCCCTGTGATCTGTTTTGAAGGCACACAAATATGTCTTGGTATACAAACCCCGTGCCTATTGTATAACTTAGCTGCCTGCTAACTGTCTTAGCCTAATTATTTTTCAGTAACTGATCACTAAGCTGCTTATCTCGCCTTGTAGGTCATGAGAAAATCCCACGAAGCTCGAGAGAAGCTGCTTCGCTTGGGAATCTTCAGGCAGGTGGAGGTGCTGATCGACACCTGTCAGGGTGTGTATTGCCCCCAGTCGTACCTGCTTTTTCTGACACCATCTTTCTTGTTCTCTCTAGACCACTTCCCTTTTTATTTCTTTTAACATGGAAATTTGTGTAAACCTTTGCTTTTAATAGGCGGTAACAAACAAACGTTACTAGCTCATATTTAAGCTAGTGTGTTGAATGGCTAAAGGCAGTTGTGCTTTGATGGTCTTCATGGATCCAAAGCAGGTTTTTTTTCTCAGCCATATTTCTTCATAATGAAGACTTTTATTATTGTTCAGTTCCAGCAATTTTGAAGCTATTCGGTTATTTTTTGTCAGCATATTTTTTTCAAATAGACTGCTATTTGAGCAGATTTCTAGCTACAACATTCATTTATTTATGCAGGAGATGATGCCCTTCCGAATGGTTTAGATGTAACTTTTGAAGTAACTGAATTGAGAAGACTTACTGGAAGCTATAACACAATGGTTGGCAACAATGAAGGCAGCATGGTATGGATGATTTCAAATAATTATGAATGCCTTTTGATGAATGTCTTATGAATGCCTTATCACGTTTCAAAGCCGAGAATGAATTTGATCATTAAATAAGGGAGGACTGGATCAAAGCCAAATTACTTTCTTGATCCAGCTTTTCTAGGCCCTTGTAAAGTCTTTGTCTCTGAAGAGACTTTTTGTACTAGACAAGCAGTCTGTTATTGACTTCCGTCCATCCTGTTTCCATTTGCTTCCATTTCACATTTATATAGCCCAGGATAGTTAAAGGTATACGAACTTAAAACCTTGCATGAAAACCATTACAAGAGGACACAAAAGTGGCACCCACCGCGGGGCCCTGCTGACGTGGCCCAGCAGAAGAGCTGGGTTAAGCACATCCTGCTGCCACCAGCTCCTTCAAGCACCCCTTCTGCTTTCTCACGTGCCCGGGGCAGCTGTACCCAGGCTGGGTAGCTAAGCCAGATCAAGGGGCTCATCCTTTTCTTAGGGGTATTTTTACCCTGGTCGGATACAGCACAGCTCAGGTGATGGTGCTGCACGGGTGCAGGGAGCACAGGAGCTGACGCGGCGCAGGGGCTGCGTGCAGTGGCCAGGGAACTGCGACCTAAAGGAAAGCTGTGGGAGATGCTGCGTGTTGCTTTGAGCGCATTTGAAAACAGTCCTAAAGCTCCTTTAGTTTCACTGTCTTCTACTGTACTTCCCCTTTATTTGATATTCATTTCTGACTCAGAAGTAAAACTTTTTGGGTAGTAAAAAAGACTCGTACATGTAGAGCAGAGGTTACGTTTCTGTTAGGATTGAATAGGTTATTCTAATCCCTTGAATTCATCTAAAGTTTGTTGGTGTAATGTTTCATACCAACAAGCTTTTGAATTCTGATGAGTTAGATAGATAAATGCACAGGAGCCATCATTGCAAAAACCAAATACGTTTGGGTGACTGATGTGCTTCCAGTAGCAGCTAGAGAAAGGCAGTCAGGACCTGGTACATGGCATTGGCTGTACCAATTTGGCAGAGTTTCTTTACATTCTTTTTAAAAAAGAACATACAACCATAGAACAGCTGTGGTGGAAGCTGTGACCAGGAGAAAGATGCTCCTTCCTTTCTGCCAGATGTCTGGTATTATTTGGGAATTTGTGTCTGAGCAGGCAGAAGAGTGTAACTGTAGTGTCTGACAAATTGTAGTGATATGTTGGACTGCTGTCAGAACCGACTGCAAAAGCACCTCAAAACAACAGTATGGGATAACAACATCACAGAAGTATGGGATAGTGTTTCAGCGCTCATAAATTTCCCATAAAATTCCCTTTTTGCTTCTCTCCTGATCAAGTGTGCTCAGTGGTCGCTGGAAAGGCTGCGATGGCAAAGCAGTGCTTTATTGTGCCCGAGGTGGATGTTCCCAGGCTTCTCCACCAGCTGGAAGATTTTCCTTGAGAGAAGAGTAGTAATGATGGTACAAGGAGAACACAGATTAAATGAGCAGCTACTGTACAGCACTAAAAGTGGGATGATACTAACTAGTCTGTGCTCTTGTGGTGGTTTTTGCTGCCAGTGCAAAGAGTGCTTACACAAAGCATATTTGGTGGAGACTATTTTTTTTAGTGTCCTTGTTTTCTCATTCCTAGCTTTGCTTATACTCAACTTCAGTGTGCAATTGGGAGACAAGGTAGCAAACATTGTGATGTATTTTTCTGTTTTTCCTAGGTACTTGGGCTTAAGTTCCCAAACCTCTTTGGGCGTGCAGAAAAGGTAACCTTCCAGTTCTCCTATGGAACAAAGGAAACATCTTACGGCCTGTCGCTCTTCAAACCACAGCCTGGAAACTTTGAAAGAAAGTAGGGAATGCCTTTTGTTTTTCTTTCTTTTGAGTATTTCTGTTCTAATGAAGGAATAGCAGCAGTTCAAAGCATATCTGGTTTTGAGAGCGCATGCACAAATAGAAAAATATGGTTTCTGTGTTTCGATTTATGCAAATCGTGCTTTATTCCAGCATGTTTTGAGCTGAGAGATGTGTTGTACAGGTACAAGAAAGTCTTTTTTTTTCCTTCCTGCCAGAACAGAGCCATTTAGGAGCTGATTGCCAAGCTTGATTCTTGCAGACTGATGACTTATTAGCAGAAACTTAAGCTTTAGCAGTGGAAATGAAAATGGCAATGTTAGGAGTGAGGATTTTTCTTGAGAGGCCAAAACCTATAAGTTATTCATTGTTTTTACTTAATGCAGGTTTAGTCAAAGTATCTACTTGTTAAATTTTAAATTCAGGAAGGCTATTAATAATAATAATGCAATAATATGCTAACTTATAGCTATCGGTCCATCGTGTTCATTTATTTCGTACACTATTTTCCCTCTACATAACAGTTAAATGTAGAAAATAGTTTCTTCCATTGAGTAATTAAATTTATTACTTTACTATAACAAGTCGTGTAATAGAGCTGCTTCCCTAAATTTTTGTGTGAATTTGAAGTCCAGCCTATTTAATTTCACTTTCAAATGCCCCGACCGTGCGGTGTTTCAGTTTTTCAGTTAACCTGTACAAAGTAACCGGACAGTTCCCGTGGAGCTCTCTGCGTGAAACGGATAGGGGAGTATCAACAGAATTCAATGTAAGTGCAGTGCCAGAGTGCAGCACGTGCCTCCTTTTCATTTCGTTCTGCTCATGACTAGCTCTTGCCAGTATTTGCTTGGTTTTATTTTTTTCTGTGATGGAAATACTTGTGCAGGGGACAAACGTGTTGCTATTTGAAAGAGGGCGACAAATCTAAGATGGCAGATGTGATACCTCCTTTTTTTTTTTCCACAGAACTTAGTATCAATTTGGTCTAATATATATGCCTGCCTTCTCCCCCAAAAAATAAGAGTTGAAACATAATTTCAGAAAGTTGGCTGGTTGCTTGGTGCACCGTCTCAAACTAATTCAAAATGTTTTTCATTTGAGATGGATTTAACAGCATGCACCTATTCAGAGAGTGAAGTTCTCTGACTGGAGTGCAGTTTACTCCAAAATGAGGAATGATTGATCCCCAAGGGGTTTGGAAAGAAGAAGCATAGATTCCTGTACAAATAAATTTTAAAAAGAAACATATCGAGGAAAATTTTGTAGCATTTTTTTTTTCTGTCTTAATTCTTATTTTTTTTTTCTTTTGTAGTTTCCAATCTGGAAGACCAACCACACGCTGAAGTGGGAGGGTGTGTGGAGAGAGCTTGGCTGCCTTGCCAGAACAGCCTCCTTTTCTGTTCGAGAAGAAAGTGGACACTCTCTGAAATCTTCTCTCTCTGTGAGGCTTTTTCCTACCATGAATAGTGTGCATGTGGCTTTGTCTAATTGAAGAAAGATACCAAAGCAGCTTCTCTTGTTTAGTGGGCATTGTATTTTACTGAAGTGTCTTTTGCCTTGTTTGGCCAATCTTGCAGGAGTCCAAAAAGAGAAGGTTTGTTTTGTTCAGAAGCTGCTTTGTGCTCTCTGTAGGACAGCATAAAAGACACTTCCCCCATGTCGTTGCCAGCCTCTTTCTGCAGCATCATCCCATGTTGCAGAAGAGTAGGACAGACACATTCCTCCTCCTAAAAAGTAGCTGTTCTCTTTGGAAGTGTTATTTCCTGCAGCATGTGTTGGTTACTTGCCATCTTTGATTTTTACCCCATAAATTCCAGGAGACGGACTACTTGCAAGTTACTGTCACAAAATTAGTGATTTGCCATGAGACTTTTTTCCTAATTTATTGCTGTGTGTACGGTGGACAAAATGTGTAACTGTATTTGATGTGGCCTCTAACGTCAAAGCTAAGTTCTTAAATCCAGGCAGCTAAAGTGGCTTTAGTTCAACCTGCTGTTGTCTTCTACTGAGTGCAAAGTTTTTGATAGCAAAAGATAGAGATTCTCTGTGATGTTCAGCTGGTGTAAAAAACTAAAAATAATTTATGATTTTTCTCAGCACGCCATGGTTATCGATTCCCGGAACTCTTCTATTCTGCCAAGACGAGGTGCCTTGCTGAAAATTAATCAGGTAGTATTGAGTCACCAGTGCTCTTAGTGAACGTTACCTCTACATGTGTTTGAGCAAATCTTATCTGGTTAATGTTCGTGGAAAAGATGTTGAAACTTAAAAATTAATCTGAAATGAATCACAATGAGCACTAGTTACCTTTTATCTTTACAGTGCATGTCTGTAAACTTGTTTGTCTTGTAAGCCCTGTCAGCTTATTTCTAGAGGTGAATATTTTCATTTATGTGCCATTAGTCAGCCAGCAGGACACTCATTCATCCCATCATTGGCGTTAAATTATTTGTTACATGGGACATGTTATCCCTGACCATACCCACTGTACACTTGAGAGTAGGTCTTTGTCTCCTGTTTTCTCTCACTACCCTGTTAAATTAATAGATTTTCACAGAGTCACAGACTGGTTGAGGTTGGAAGGGACCCCTAGGGATCATCTAGTCCAACCCCCTGCTCCAGCAGGGACACCCAGAGCACGGGGCACAGGGCGGCACCCAGGCGGGTTGGGAAGATCTCCAGAGAAGGAGACTCCACAGCCTCCCTGGGCAGCCTGTTCCAATTGGTCCTTTTCCAATTTTGGTCCTATAACTTACAAAGCTTCTAAGTCTTATAGTTAAAACTGAAAGGCTGGTAAAAATACCCCTCAAGGGTACGTGCAGGTATCAGTTTGGCACAGAGAATAATTTTTGCTTGTGAAATTGATCTCTGTCTCCATCCTGGTGTTTCTGTGCTTCTTGACAGAAAAACGAAATGCTGGAGATGATGCAGATTTCCTGAGTTTTGAGGAGGAAGAAAAATGTGATCCCTGCTGCAGCTTTTGTGCTTTTTGTCTTTGCAGGAGTTGGCTGGCTATACAGGCGGAGATGTGAGCTTTCTGAAGGAGGATTTTGAATTTCAGTTGAATAAGCAGCTTCTGTGGGAGTCGGTAATTATTTTAAATGATGTTTTAGTAATGGTGAGTTAGCAGATGAGATATCAAAAGCTCTGTCTTACGGTGAATTTTCATCACGGATTAGAAAAAAATCATGGAAAGGACGAGGGATGGGATGGATGTCTTGATTTGTTTTTGGAAGTGAAATAGTCTTTTTTTTTTTTCTTTTCCTTCTTACCATGTACGGTCACTTGTTGAAAGTGGATATTGTGGAAAGAAAGGACTTGTCTGATACTTAATGATAGGAACTATTTTTCTTTTGAAAGCAGTTCGTGTCATCCGTCGTGATCTTTAATAGAGTGTTTTTGAAAAACTTAATACATCTTTTGTTACCTTTCTTTTACCCAATTACGAGTATTTTGGAAATTTTGGCATGAAAAACATGAAGCTGCTTGCATAGTTCAAGTAATAATTAACTGATTGATTGATGAGTGTCCTTCCAGTTGTCCTCATATATATGAATATCCAGAGCTTTAGCCGAGAAAGTTGGTGGGAATCTCCGGGGAGGTAATTTAGCAGCTGCACCAAGGGGACACTATTCCTTCCCATGGCAGTTAATGTGGCTGGAAGTCAGTAAGAGAGGCGGTGGAGCACGTGGCACCCCACGGTTTGTGTGACTCCCTGGTCTTGCACACAGCTGCCTTTTGCACGTGTGTTGTCAGACTGGCGTGGCCTGCACCATCTCGTCGTGACAGTCTTGGTATCAATAGAGTGGATTCTACAAGTCAGATGGTTTCTAGAAAGTATAAGGCTACTTTCTAAGCAGGTTACTGGTCACGTTTTTGGAAGGCATTTGTAGGACGTAGCTCCCTATGGGTTTAAAGTTGCCAGGTGTAAGTTATGTCAGTAGATGTTGTTTTCTTTCAGATCTTGAAAGCTGAGCTGGATCACTGTCCCTTTGGATACTGCAGGAGTAGCTCTAGGAGTAAAAGTGCTGTGCCTTTTTCCAGGTGCAGCACGTCGTAGTATCGGAAGAGGGCAGCAGTGCTCAAGAGTTCTCTGAAAATACAATTGTTGGAAGGATGATATCCACATCCACCCCATCCTCATCCATAACTTTGCCAGAATAATGGGACCTCAGCCTGTAGCTGAGCGATGGAGTTTTAGTAACACTTTTTTTAGGGAGTTTCAATAATGCATTTTAGTAAACAGCTTTTCAACTTCTTCTCTTTTTCTGCAGGTTTTTTCAGCATCACTTTGGGGTGGAATGCTGATTCCCATTGGAGACAAACCATCTAGCATAGCTGATAGGCAAGCAACCTCCATAAGCTTTTATTTCTTTTCTAATAAAAACTTTCATAATTGCTTATAGTCGCCCCAGGTAACGTATACCGGAAACTCCAGTAGAAGAGAGAAACAAGAGAAACATTTCTGATTTTGAGGAGAAAAAAAATAAACATCTAGTTAGCTTTAATTCCATGGAGATACTTGGGCATGCTTTTGATTTTTCATCCTGGGGTGCTATACCTTTAGAATTTGCTGCATAGTAGCACTGCCTTCAGGTAAATACCATTATATCTGCCAAATTTCACATCAGGTGTAGGCAGTGCTATAGAGACAGGAGGTGTTTTTAGAAATAATTCTATCCTGTCTCTTTGGCTTTTTATCAAATTTTGTACCCTCACAGTTGTGATGAAAGATCACTAGAAGATGGCTTAAGGCTTAAATTTATTCACACTAAATGCCAAGTCTTAATTATGTTAGCTTCATCTGTAATGACATCTTACCTATAGTATTTCTTTGACAATATTGTAACAGTTTGAGACTCGAATTCAGAGTGGTTCTTCAATGTTGGGCCACAAAGAGACGGGGAAGCCTTTTAAGCTGATTTTTGTGAGATGTTCTGTTTTTTTTTCAATACTTTATTTTGGAAATTATCTCGAATGCATCGATATTTAGATTTAGAAACAAAAATTGTATATAAATGCCCCTTACTAAACCTCTAGTGAAGATGCCTGTAATTCTGAAAAGTTACAGTAAAGTATTGCTAGCTACTTTAAAGTACTTCCTTTGAAATGAAGCGTTCAATTTGACTGTATTCCCTAGGTTTTACCTGGGTGGACCAACAAGCGTGCGTGGATTCAGCATGTACAGCATTGGACCACAGAGTGAAGGTCTGCAGCTTTTCAGTTCCACTACCCTGACCACGTTGTGCACGTTAGTTCGTAACAAAGCCTCGCAGGGTGTCCTCAAGTTTTCTGTAGTTTCAAAAGAATTGTTCTATTTCAGCACTTTAACTCTTGGAAGTGTTATCTGTCTTTGATCTGTAATGATGTTAGTAGTTCACAATGGAATAAAGTGCAGTAGTTCACAGTTAGGCCCTAAGCTACTTCTGTAACGCAGGCATTTGTTCAGACTTGCACGTGTTACTGTGTCTTTATTCATTTGGTCTTAATCTGAGACCTTTCACATATGCAAAAATACATTCAATTTTCTCATGCCTTTTTAAAGGGAATTTCACAAGTGCAAGGCTTGTATTAAAATAAGTCGAAGAAGAGAGCGAGCTCCTAAAACCATCTTTTTGTCTTCAGGTTGACCTAGGATCTTTGTTGACAGAGGTGCCAGGTTTCAAACTTCTGGCATGTCATCTTGACTTTTAGTAAGCATCCTTCCACCTTAAAAAGTTCCCAAAAGACGTTGCTAGCAACAGTCAGATCAAATCTCTGTCTGATACAGCGCATGTTCTAATAGATTGGGGAAAAGGTAACACGATCTATGGAGGCGATTGAAGAGACAGGAGTTTCCTTCATTCTTTTCCTTATTCTGCATTTGCTTGCCGTTACTATGGAAGAACTGCTTGCCTGTTACCAGCTCCCCTTCTTTAAAACCAGGGCAAATGTTTCAGTCGTGAATTGAGAGAATTCACCCTAGAAAGAATTGTGGACGTGCCAGTTTTTAATTAATTGCGATGAGGTTTTAGAGAGCTGGAATCAAACCCAGGCGTTGCAGTGGGGTAGCAGTACAGCGTGGAACAACTTAGGGCTATGTTCTTGCAACTTGAACAAATGGCTGTGCTAATATATGCTGGAATAAATGCCTGGCTTCCTGTATTTTCCCTAAATAGGTGATTACTTGGGAGGAGAAGCCTACTGGGCTGGTGGCTTGCACCTCTACACCCCTCTCCCTTTCCGGCCAGGCCGGGGAGGCTTTGGAGACCTTTTCCGAACACATTTCTTCCTCAATGCCGGAAACCTCTGCAATCTTAACTACGGTGAGACTCGATAGAACTGGGTACAGCAAGACCTGCTTATCCAAGTGTAAAGAAAGCAAATAGTAAAAGAGAGCAGCTAAGTGTGTTTTCCTCAGAAAGGTTTGTTTACTGCATGTATTTCAGTGGCCGCTCCAGTGGCCGTGTTGCTGTTAACTATGGTGAATTGATGGTTAGTGCTGTTTGGTATGTAGCTTTCTTGATGGAAAGTAGACTTGATGGAAAGTAGATGGAAAGAAGGGATACACTTTATGCACAACTGACAAGCAGATCTATCTGCTTTGAATTTCACAGAGACTTGCTCTAGATTTTTATTTATATCTTTGGTATACGTCTCCAGAATTGTGCAAATAGGTGCCCCACGGTGGGAAATGAAGATCAACCAGCAATCCAACCAGAATCTTAGAAGTATGTAGTTTTAATTGGAGGTAATTTGTATTTGTGAGAGTTACTGCATAATAGAGTCGTGAGTCTTTGCCGTCAGTGCTCCTAGGTAATGTTTTGTAGCTGTGGAAGTCAAGATAGGCTTTGAACACCTTGACAGGCTGCCTTGACTCTTGTTCTCTTGTTCTTCTCTTCTCAGGGGACGGGCCCAGAGCTCATCTGCAGAAGCTGGCAGAGTATATTCGATGGTCTTACGGAGCCGGCATCGTGCTCCGCCTGGGAAACATCGCTCGATTAGAACTGAACTACTGTTTCCCCATGGGAGTGCAGGCTGGGGACAGGTTTGTTGCTTACAGACATTTCTTTAACTAGTTTTAAAGGTTCCTGCGCTTCTGTTTGGATTTGGCAGAGAGAATCTGCTGTCTCTTAATTTTTTTTTATGCAATGCCAGTTTCTTCTTTAAAGATTTCTCAGAATTTTAGTGGCTCTTTTGGTTTCACGGTGCTTCTTTAAGGCTGTTTACATCTCAGGTCCCAGAGTTCATTGAACTTGGGGTCAGTTCTTGAAATGTATGCATAGCTGTGTAGCAGATTTTCATTTCTTTAGGGGAAATGAGCACTCGGCTCATGGGGTTTTCCTAAGCTTCCTAAAAACAAGGAATTGGAGAAATACCAAGTTTATTGTCGCTGCTTAAAAAATGAATAAAGACTTAAGTATTGATAAAGAGGAAGGGAGAACAAATTCTTAGCATCAGTTAGCTTATACATACTAAATAGTATGTAGCAGAAAAGCTAGGTTGGGCAGCTGTTCTTTACTTAACTTCACGCCTTACTTTACTCAAGTTCTTTACTTAAATAATATAGTGTGAGATAATTAGTAAATATAGTGTGAGATAATCTGTATTTTAGACAGAAGTTAGATTCTGTTTTGCTTGTCATTCATTTGAAATGTGAACAAATAACAGCAACCTGAAAACTAAGGGCTTTATCTTGCAAATGTGAACTCCACAGAGATGACAGATTGGTAATGCAGTTATTTAGCAAAGCCTGTCCCAAATACTGAAAAACTAGGGAACATTGGAATAGGGAGCATTAGCTTCCGTTTGATCAGTATAGCTTGTTTATCACTAATATTGTCTGTTTTCTTGTGTCTTTTCAGAATATGTGACGGTGTTCAGTTTGGAGCAGGCATCAGATTTCTATGATACAGAAATGTTTTACATCAGAATATGGAATTGAGCTCTGTATGAAATCAAAAATATAATGCAGTGCAATGTGCTCGAAAGCTTTTTTTCTTCAAATACAAATATACATCTGAGTGATTTACCTCAGACTTCACAGGAAACTCCATTAAAGAGTTATGCTCTAAAGGTGCTTTGATTTTTATTAAAGATGTGAAAATGTTCATAGAATTGTAGCTATTTTAACTTTTAGCTTTTCCTGATTAGTTGTTGCTTTAAAAGTTAGATAACTGTGTTGGAATTGGATCGTGGATGCATTTCACAGGATTGTTAACTGTGATTTGCCCATGCAGCCTTCCCGCTTCCTGCTGCAGGTTTCCAGTGCTGGGATGATGAGGTGTGTGGATGGCTGGCATAGAAATTGAGGCAACAGTTTTTCTCCATCATCAACTTCTTTGAAGGAATGACCTTGAAAAATGTGTTATGCATCACAGGATTTGATACAAAACTAATTATTATAAATTAAGGGAATGTTCTGATAAAACATATTTTCTTACTGTAAAATAACGTGCACTGGAAGAAAAACTCCTACAAATCCGAATTGCTTATTGTAAAAGTCAGGTTCAGCTGTCTAGCGCAGTAAATATTAAAATTCAAGAATAACTTTGGACTTTTCAAAGTTCCCTACTTTGGCACAGTTTTGAGTGGGTTGTGGCAGTTAGACAAGCAGTTGATTTGGGGTTTTCCAACTGGATTTTTTTCAGCAGCAGCAGTTGCAAGAAGTGGTGTCTGGCTGTGATCACATGATACTGACTGGCTTGCTTTTATGCCTGAGGCATCTTTCTTTAGTGCCTTCTATTAGTGTTCTTTTCATTTTAAAGTGACCTCTTGCTTTGTCACTTGGCATAAATTCCAGTTTAAAACTATATTCCCAGTGGAGGTTAAAGCCTCACTAGCCCTAATGATTTGACTTTCAAGATAGTTATATATTAAACCTCTACAAATGTATCAATCCTAACCTGTTGTTATAGTATGAGCCTAGAATCCACTCTCTTCCCATCTAAATGTTTTGTGTTCGTTTGTGTTGACAAAATTAAAACGGTAATACAAAGTATATTATAGGGGAGTAGAATTTCAGGCTGCTTTATTTAGATTTCCCTGCGCTGTACATTTCCATGCATAATTGGCAAGGACTGGCTTTTTTAACAGAAACTAAGAAAAGTTCTATACTTCATGTGTCTCCTCCCTGGCTATAGGCAGCCCTTGGCAAATAGTGATGAGCGAGGTGGCTTCGCTGCCAAGTCCTGAGAGGGCAGCCAGGAAAGTCTTTGTGCCAGTCAGGTCAGTCCTGAGACTCGACTTGCTAGGGAGAGGTGTGTTGCTTTAGCTTGGGGACATGTTGCTTTTGCACTACTGCAGGAAGCAAGCATTTTGAGGACTTATTTTCTAAAATACGTGAAGGTTAGAAACTGGTCAGTGCCTGGTTTTGCAGAGCTCCGCTCGACTAATCATCCCTCTGTTCTTTTAGTTTAGTTGATTACATCGTAGAGGATCTCAGGTGGACAAAACAGAAGGAGTGTGTGAATTAATAGGGAGCTCTTTCCAGTGTGTCTTTCAGACTGCAACTGCAGCAAATGTGTAGTTAACAAAGCATTTAGCATGACTCTTTTGACTTTATGGTATAAAACAAGACAGAGTTAAGAAGGTCAAGAACTATTACTGTTTTTTTACTAGTACTCTATACGTTTTGACAGAGAAAAATAGCTTTAGTGGGAAGAATGGAAATGTTTATATATCTAAATGCTCCTAAGATCTTTCCCTCAGAAGTTTGAAGTTTATTACGATTATATTGATAAAGTTAGATGTATTCTATTGCCTAAAAAACTCCTGAAAAACTTGTGCACGGTGTTTGTTACTAAAGGCTCTTCAAAATTAGTCCTTTAGAGAAAATGCTAAGCTAGTACCATTTGATAGTTTAGAAGGAAAGATGGCCTTCTTGAGGCTGTCAAAGATAGCCTCAGTTTGCACACTAAAAATAAGGTTTTCTCTTTGAGAAAACTATGATCTGTAGCCCTAACGTAAGGGTGGGGAGAATTTGCTAAAGGCTGCATAATCCTTTGAAGCACATTTGGTAGGTGACACTCCATCAGGCAGAGTTGTATTATCCAGTAATAATAATGGGAGAAAAACTGTTACAGGAACCTTTGTCTGGTCCACAGGTTTCCACCCTGCTGACAGATGAAAATATTTCATGGCACATAGTACAATGCTCAGGAGTTACCCACGCTACATATTAGTATTATACTAGTATTTCTCCAGAGGCAACATGTAAATCACACTGGAGTACAGTGCTATAAAAGAGACGTGGGGAGGAGAGGAGGGCCCTTTTCCTTCACACGGAAGGAATAAGAGCAGCTCTGCAGGCCAAGGGCTCTGGAGCCTTAATGTGATATTGAGGGCACCTCTGAGCCGGAAAGAAGACTGCAATCGTGTGAAAAGCAGCAGGGATCGTCGTGTGGCTGCTTCCTAGATGATGAGGGATTTTTCTGGAGTTGTTAAGAATAAAATGGTGAAATTGTTCTTTGTATCTAGAAGAGGAAGCACCTTTGGGCAGGGCTAAGGAGCAGGAGGCGAGGTAGCTTTTGGGGAAGACGAGAGGCAGCGTTGCTAGCACGTAAGCAGCAGGCCTGCTAGGGGATTAAGAGCATAGCTGTGTTTAATTTAAAAATACACGCCTTAGAAACTTGCTGCTGACATTCTGTCATTTAAGAAAATTCGTTTCAATGTAAAACTGCCTTTTGCTGTTGCCCTGTGCCATGCTTGGCCTGTACTTGCTGCCAGCGGAAGCGCCTGCCGAGCCACAGACACTAATGGACGACACTTACTAGGTCTCCAAAGCACCCGCTGTTTTTGTAGAGCAGCTGCATAGAAATTGCTGCCGTGCGGAGGGAAGCGGAGTGAGAAAAGGGAGGAGTAGCTGATACCCCAGAGGGCTGTGCGGCCATCCAGAGGGACCTGGACAGACTGGACAACTGGGCGGCGAGAAACCTCATGAGGTTCAACAGGGGCAAGTGCAGGGTCCTGCACTTGGGCAGGGATAACCCTGGACACCAGTACAGATTAGGGGTGGAACCGCTGGAGAGCAGCCCTGCAGAGAGGGACCTGGGCGTCGTGGTGGACGACAAGTTGACCATGAGGCAGCAGTGTGCCCTGGTGGCCAAGAAGGCCAACGGGATCCTGGGGTGCATTAAGAAAAGCGTCTCCAGCAGGTCGAGGGAAGTGATCATCCCCCTCTACTCAGCCCTGGTGAGGCCACATCTGGAGTACTGCGTCCAGTTCTGGGCTCCCCAGGACAAGAGTGATGTGGAGCTGCTGGAGAGAGTCCAGCGCAGGGCTACCAGGATGATCAGGGGCCTGAAACATCTGCCCTGTGAGCAAAGGCTGAGGGAGCTGGGCCTGTTCAGCCTGGAGAAGAGGAGGCTGAGGGGGGACCTGATCAGCGTGTATAAATACCTCAAGGGAGGCAGTGAGGAGGAGGGGGCGGCCTCTTTTCAGTGGTGGCCAGTGAGTGATAAGACTAGAGGAAACGGCCACAAACTGAAGCACCAAAAGTTCCACGGGAACTAAAGGAAAGATTTCTTGGCAGTGAGGGTGCCAGAGCCCTGGCACAGGCTGCCCAGGGAGGCTGTGGAGTCTCCTTCTCTGGAGATCTTCCAAACCCGCTTGGATGCCGCCCTGTGCTCTAGGTGACCCTGCGTGTGCAGGGGGACTGGACTACATGACCTCTGGAGGTCCCTTCCAACCTTAATCTTGGATTCCAAGATTCTGTGAAAAAGTGAAGGCACCTTGGATTAGGCCCTTCCTCTCTGCTCTAGGTGAGCAGTTACTCAAAAACGGTTTCTCGTGCCACATGGAAAAATCAGACTGTAAAGGGAATTGAGGAGTTTATCTGCTGTGTGGGAGATTATGAATTTTATATGGGATAACAGGAAAATCACCCTCGAATTACTGAATTTCCATGTAGAGGAGTCTTTAAAAGGGTAGAAATTTGCACGCCAAGTAGTAGCCATAGTTCTTAGGAGGATTTTTGCACAGCTTCTTTACCCTACTTTTGAAACAACATTTGGATTGAATGTATAGCCCTTTTATGATGTTGCTGATAAACCCCTGTTTGCAACTGCATTGTTTTTGCTGATTTTAACTTAGTGCAGAGAAGAGCATGAAAGTTTTCTGGTTAAATGCAATATGTGATCTATGTGATCTAAATTGTTCTGGAGCAAATCAGTTAAATGAGACATTTCTACTTCAGTAAAGTAATATTAGGAAAAAAAAAATAAGGAAAGCTCTGATATTTGATATACCAGGGAGAAAAACTAATTTTAATGGTGCCTTGTGCCTAAGGTATCAGTTATCTTACTCAAATCAATCTATTATTATACAACAAGGCTTTATATCATGATTTTTTACTTAAAATGGAAGCTTTTACTTTGCTTCAGTATTACCCCACATATTCAGTGAAATGGCACCATTATTTCATAAAGCATACAATTACTATAATATTGTGTACTCCTAAATTCTGAATGGAGTATAAAACGCCATGCGACTTAAAGCAGAGGTCAGCAGGAGACCTGTATAAAAAGGAATGACTGCAGTGTGAAAATGAGGAAATGCTAATTCAGACTTTTAATTGTGCAGCTAAATATTAAAGCTAATAGTACTGAAGTGGAATCAAAGCCAGATTTTGAAACAGATGCATTTTTGTTTCCAATGTGTTTTTTTTTCACTTGTGAAAAAGACATGTTTGTGCTCTTGACAGTTTTGTTCATGAATATAAAGGGATCTTGTGCCCAATATGAGGTACTAGAGTGAATTTCCCTCATGGTGTCCTGTATGTGACAGGAGTTGGAGTGAATAATACAGCTACCCGGCCTGATGCTTCTGCTCAGAAGGAACATGCACCTCAAACTGAGGCCATTCGACCCGTGCAGCAAGGGCCGTGTTGCTGCACGTTTGGCAGATGGTTAGGCAGGGGTAAAAGACCAAGGGAGTTGTTCACCTCCCATGCAGAAGAGCAGCGTTGGTTTGGCCTGCTATGATGCTTCTCAAAATGACTGCAGGGTTTTTTTTAATTTTTTTTTTTAAGTGTAATTTTACTTTTGCCCTGGGCACTCTCTTCTTGTCTCAGGCAATCCAGCCTTGATTTATTATTTATAAGTCGATACACTACTGCTATAAATCTAAGCAGTTTCTTTATAAGTATATAGGGCAGCCAAGTGTACGTGTCTTTCAGTTATTGGAAGATACTTGTTTATAGGACTTTACATATCAAGTGTTGTACGCGGGACAGGGAAGCTCTGTTTGTTAGAGCACATCCTCATCACTGGACTGGTTTGAAGCCCTCTCCTGCAGGACACAGGCCCTAAGTCTGTCGGGAAGGTGATGACCTTCCTTGGGTCTCCTGAGCCTTTGCTGTGGGCTGCAGTGCTTGGGGGAGAGAGGGGGTACCACAGATCTGCTCAGGACACTGGCACCCCTTGGAGCTGCAGCATGTGCCAGAGGAGCTGGCGCTAGCGCTGGGGCGCAGGGATAAGCGCTCCGAGATGTCTCCCTGAAGCCATGCCGGAGGAGCAGCTCGCCCACGTTCTGGTTGCCTTGGCCAGTGGTTAACGGTGCTGTGGCTGGTGACGAGACTGGGGCAGCAGTGGGTGTTAGTGCCAGCCCATTATAACCATGGAATCTAAGCCATTAGAGGCAGACATTAAAGGAGCTGCGGGTGCAATTCCAAACCTGCGATTACTTCTCTGTTCTTTGCCTTAAAACAGTGTTTGTCAGTTTTTCCCCCTCTCCCGTTGCCTTGCAGAATACAGCAGGGGGCATGGGGCCCATGGGGTGAACAGGAAAAACACAATCAAATG